AGCTAGTGTAAGTTTTAAGCTGCTGGGTCCAGGACTCGAACTGTGAGTGTGGCAGTCCAGTGATGTAACATTCTGCTGGTCCCAGAAATGATTTTTTTTTTAAAAGTTTTATTTTTATTTTTTTTTATGAGTAAGAGTAAGAGAGAGAGAGAGAGAGAGAACAGACAGCAACCCCAACGTCTCAACACCACTATCCACCCGGAAATAGCATTTTGCGTCTCAAAGAGCTCGTCTGATGAACTGACTGGTGAATAAATAGAGGCTCAGTAGGTAGGTTCCCTTCTATTCCTTGATTTCTGCGAGTTTGGGTAGGAACTGGTCACAATATAGGAAAGAGTTGAGCGATGTGACCACCATCAGAGGTTGAGTCGATGACAGAAAAGGGCTGAAAATATTGCATCATTCCCCCACCCCCATCATTCAAAGCCTAATCCCTAACCTTTGATTTCTCAAGTCAACTGGCCTGTCCCAGAACCCTACAACTCTACCTTTAGGTCCTCAGCCAGTCTGGAGGGCCTTGACAGCTGTCGGCCTAGGAGAAGGCAGGATGGGAAAGAGAGGGGAACTTCTAGACAGCATTCAAAGAAAGGTGGGCAGGAATTACCTAAGTTTACAGGTAAAGACACCGAGGTTTAAATAAGGCCTTTAAAAAAAAAAGAATTATTTATTTAATTGTATGTATTTATTCATTTATTTTAATTTGATCAGAGAGACACACAGAAAGAGATAAAGGAAAAGTGAGAAAGTAAGCCACCAGGTTCGGGACTCAAACCGTGGTTGGCCATGTGGGAGTGTCCAGTACCTCAACTACCATGCCACCCGCTGGTCCCCCAAGACCTTTAAAAAAAAAAAGAATTGTTTTATTCCATTTGTTATTATTATTATATTTTAATTTGACCAGAGAGCGAGAGAAAGGGAAAGCGAGAAAGCAAACCACCAGGTCTGGGACTCAAACCATGGTCGGCTATGTGCCTTTAATACCACACCACCTGCTGGCCCAAGGGAGACCTGCTTGTTAGGGGTGGGTTCTGGGACCCTCTGGGTAGTATGACTCATCCAAAATTGTCTCTTGGTCCTTGGCACTCCCCCTCCCATGTTCCCTGGCTCACGGATCAGTATCTCCCCATCCTGGCTTCCCAAGGAAAGAGGGGAGTGTGTGAAAATGACAAGTACGTCTAATGAGGGGTTGGTTCTGTCCTTCTGGGAAGAGAGGCTCAGCCACCGGAGTGCCGATGGCGCTGAGCTGGTGGAAGTGGAAGCTGTAGTGGCAGTCTGGCTGGATCTGGAGGTGACAGTGAAGGTGGTGGGGACGGTGGGATGGTGGTTATGGCGATGGTGGTTGTGATAGTGGAGGTGGTGGGTAGAACAAGGGTGAGTGGTAGCATAGTGAGGTGCTAGTGGAGAGGGTGATGGTAGGAGGGGACTTCTGAATCTGTTACTCGGCACACTGGGAATAATGCAGCATCCCACCCCCTTTTCCTGGGAGCCAGGATTTGAGTGTGAAGACTATTCAATACAGCCTTCTTTCCTGCAGAGGGGGAGTTCCCTGCCTACCTAGGACGTCAGCCACCTCTCTGAGGGCCTGGGCTCTGGGCAGACCCAGCCGAATGGGGCAGGGAGGGTCTGTGGGTGGATGCCATTGGGCGAGGGGTGGTTAGTGGTGTGAGAGCCACAGTGGAGAATATGGGGAGGAGACTGAGGCAGGAGGACCTAGCAGGAAGTGCCTGTGGAGGGCTGGCCTGCGCTCTTGCTCCTCCTTGGAAGTGGACTAAGGTTAGAGACAGTGGTGAGCAGGTAGAGATCTAAGAACTGACTGTCTAAAAGAACATTTAGGGCCAGCCCTGTAGCCTAATGGTTAAGGGAGCCAGGTCCCACAGGACCGACTGCTCATTTCAAGTCCTGGCCCTGGGACCAGCAGATGGTGTAATGGTTACCAGAAAAGGGCTGAAAATATTGCATCATTCCCCCACCCCCATCATTCAAAGCCTAATCCCTAACCTTTGATTTCTCAAGTCAACTGGCCTGTCCCAGCACCCTACAACTCTACCTTTAGGTCCTCAGCCAGTCTGGAGGGCCTTGACAGCTGTCGGCCTAGGAGAAGGCAGGATGGGAAAGAGAGGGGAACTTCTAGACAGCATTCAAAGAAAGGTGGGCAGGAATTACCTAAGTTTACAGGTAAAGACACCGAGGTTTAAATAAGGCCTTTAAAAAAAAAAGAATTATTTATTTAATTGTATGTATTTATTCATTTATTTTAATTTGATCAGAGAGACACACAGAAAGAGATAAAGGAAAAGTGAGAAAGTAAGCCACCAGGTTCGGGACTCAAACCGTGGTTGGCCATGTGGGAGTGTCCAGTACCTCAACTACCATGCCACCCGCTGGTCCCCCAAGACCTTTAAAAAAAAAAAGAATTGTTTTATTCCATTTGTTATTATTATTATATTTTAATTTGACCAGAGAGCGAGAGAAAGGGAAAGCGAGAAAGCAAACCACCAGGTCTGGGACTCAAACCATGGTCGGCTATGTGCCTTTAATACCACACCACCTGCTGGCCCAAGGGAGACCTGCTTGTTAGGGGTGGGTTCTGGGACCCTCTGGGTAGTATGACTCATCCAAAATTGTCTCTTGGTCCTTGGCACTCCCCCTCCCATGTTCCCTGGCTCACGGATCAGTATCTCCCCATCCTGGCTTCCCAAGGAAAGAGGGGAGTGTGTGAAAATGACAAGTACGTCTAATGAGGGGTTGGTTCTGTCCTTCTGGGAAGAGAGGCTCAGCCACCGGAGTGCCGATGGCGCTGAGCTGGTGGAAGTGGAAGCTGTAGTGGCAGTCTGGCTGGATCTGGAGGTGACAGTGAAGGTGGTGGGGACGGTGGGATGGTGGTTATGGCGATGGTGGTTGTGATAGTGGAGGTGGTGGGTAGAACAAGGGTGAGTGGTAGCATAGTGAGGTGCTAGTGGAGAGGGTGATGGTAGGAGGGGACTTCTGAATCTGTTACTCGGCACACTGGGAATAATGCAGCATCCCACCCCCTTTTCCTGGGAGCCAGGATTTGAGTGTGAAGACTATTCAATACAGCCTTCTTTCCTGCAGAGGGGGAGTTCCCTGCCTACCTAGGACGTCAGCCACCTCTCTGAGGGCCTGGGCTCTGGGCAGACCCAGCCGAATGGGGCAGGGAGGGTCTGTGGGTGGATGCCATTGGGCGAGGGGTGGTTAGTGGTGTGAGAGCCACAGTGGAGAATATGGGGAGGAGACTGAGGCAGGAGGACCTAGCAGGAAGTGCCTGTGGAGGGCTGGCCTGCGCTCTTGCTCCTCCTTGGAAGTGGACTAAGGTTAGAGACAGTGGTGAGCAGGTAGAGATCTAAGAACTGACTGTCTAAAAGAACATTTAGGGCCAGCCCTGTAGCCTAATGGTTAAGGGAGCCAGGTCCCACAGGACCGACTGCTCATTTCAAGTCCTGGCCCTGGGACCAGCAGATGGTGTAATGGTTACATCACTGGACTGCCACATAGTCAACCGTGGTTCAAGTCCCAGACCTGGTGGCTTAAAATTCACACTGGGCATGTGTGCATGAGTGCCCAAAATCCCAAGAGGAGAAGGGATTGAGGCGTGGCCATCACCCCAGGGAGTAATTTCTCGCTTTCTGTCTGTCTCTCCAGTAAGTACATGCACCTGATAACAAAAATCTCTCTAAAAAAATAAATTAAAAAAGAAAAATCAAGTCCCAGGACCAGCAGATGGCATAATGGTTATGTCATTAGGTTCCCATGTAGTTAATTGTGGTTCGAGTCCCAGATCCGGTGGCTTCAAACTCATTCCAGGCATGTATGCGTGCATGCCCAAGGTCCCGAGAGGCAAATGGAGGAGAAGGGATTGCAGTGTGGCCATCCCCCCTCAGGGGTGATTTCTCATTTTCTGTCTGTCTCTCTAGTGAGCACATGCACCCTATAGCAAAAACATCTCTTAAAAAAAAAAATCAGGGAGACCAGCAGTTAGCGTAATGGCTATGTCGCTAGACTCCCATGTAGTCGACCGTGGTTCGAGTCCCAGACCAAGTGGCTTAAACTCACACCAGGCGCATGTGCGTGCGTGCCCAAGATCCCAAGAGGAGAATGGAGGAGAAGGGACTGCAGTGTGACCATCCCTCCTGGGGAGTGACTTCTCGCTTTCTGTCTCTGTCTCTTTCTGTCTTTCTGGCAAGTGCATAGCAAAAATCTCTCAAAAAAAAAAAATCAGGCAGGCATCGAGTCTCGGACCTGACGGCTTGCTTTTTTCCTTTCTCCCTCTGTCTTTCTCTGGTCAAATTAAAAAATAATAATAACAAATGGAAATAAATGAATAATTTAAAAGAAAGAAAGAAAGATCAAGTCCCAGCCCTGATGTCTTGAAAAACATACCAGGTACATGTTCATGCATTCCCCAATTCCCATCAGCCTGGAGAAATGGTGAAGGGATTGAGGCTTGACTACACCTCACTGGCTTGAAGGAGGTGCTTTTTCTTTCTTTCTCTGGCAAGTGCACAAGCCTTCTGATGATTAGAAAAATAGAGAACACTTCCAAAAGCCCTGATTTGTAGTGTTTGCCGATTTTCGTGGTGTAAATGCTCCTCCTGTGGCTGACTTCCAACCACCCACGTGACGGCATGGAAGGTGGAGTTGGAGAGAGATGCACAGCACACCCTTATCTGCTGTCTCCACTGTCTGGACACAGTCGGCATAAATAACCGCAAGAGCATAGACAAGGCAAAATGCCGTAAAATAATTGGGAGGTGATTCTTGATTATGTACTGAGTATGGTTTCTAATATCGTGTATTTCATTGTAGCATATAGTTTAGTTTTTAATTGTTTAACGACTGGCAGGCACACTTCCTGAACATGTGCCAGCCGGCTCTCCTGAGCGCGGGACACCAGCTCCAGCACAACACCGACGCGGGGGGCACAGGGGCGGCTGGCGGCGGGCTGGGGCTGATGGCTGCCGGGGTCTCTCCTTTCTCCCCAGGCGGATGTTCCCATTCCTGTCATTTACCGTGGCCGGGCTGGAGCCCACCAGCCACTACAGGATGTTCGTGGACGTGGTCTTGGTGGACCAGCACCACTGGCGGTATCAGAGCGGCAAGTGGGTGCAGTGCGGAAAGGCCGAAGGCAGCATGCCAGGTAGGCGCCCCTTGGGAGCAGCAGGCGTTCCCTACTCCAAGACTGGGCGCCCCCTAGTGGATCCCCAAGTCCGGGGCCCCTGAAGCTCAGAATTTAATTCCTTATCCCACTTGTCACGTCTGTTATTTGATCATATCTTTTCCACTCTAGCCTACCCTCTGCCTACACTTCCCTCTGCCTCCCTTCTCTGCTCCTCCCCCTGCAACCTTCGCCATGTCCCCCTCAGAAAAGGCAGAGCCCCGCATCACCAGGGGTCTTTCCGGGGGCTGCGTGCCAAAGAGGGTGACTGTCCACAGGAAACCGGCTGTACGTCCACCCGGATTCCCCCAACACCGGAGCTCACTGGATGCGCCAGGAAGTTTCATTTGGGAAACTAAAGCTCACGAACAACAAGGGGGCCTCCAACAATATGACCCAGGTAGGACCTCCTCCTTGCCAGGGGGCCGTGCCCCTAAACCAGACCCCCAGGTTGCAGGAGTCTTGTAGGCGGAGTCTGTTCTCTAGCAGGATCTCTTTCTCTGAATGCTGTTCTTTCCCACTCCACCTGTCTGGGGAGAAGAGGAAACGGGAGGAAGTGTCCTAGCATAGGGTACCTTGAGGCCGACCCAGGCCCACCAACCGGGGGTGTCTTCACTGGGTCCCCGGCTGCTGTGGCTTAGGCACCAGATGCATGGATTGGTCCCCGGGGGCCCAAGGAATGGATGTGGTTTCCCCGGGTTGAGCAATCCTGTCTGCAGTGCACGCATCCCTAGGAAGCCCTATTTGTGCTAAAGCCCTGGCCACAGCGAACATCTAGGAATAGGGAAGGAGACCAGAGGATAGAACTGGTGTTCCAGAGAGGCTGGGGACAGGAATGGAGGGCCTGGTGAAGTTACGGTGGCAGGACAGGGGCCTCAGTGTAAGGGCAGCCACTGGGGCACGGGGAGGGGTCTGCAGGGCCATGCATCCAGCCACAGGGCCAACCGCAGGGGTGTGGGGTCCTTCACACCTCCTCCTCCCCACGGCGGTGACCGTCCTGCTCTCTCTTCAGATGATTGTCCTCCAGTCCCTCCATAAGTACCAGCCCCGGCTGCACATTGTCGAGGTGAATGACGGCGAGCCGGAGGCGGCCTGCAACGCTTCCAACACGCATATCTTCACCTTCCAAGAAACCCAGTTCATCGCAGTGACTGCCTATCAGAACGCTGAAGTGAGGGCTGCCCAGGCCTGCAGGGGCTGAACCTGGGGTGGAGTGGAGGGCTGACGGGGGGCCACGGTCTTCCTGATCCCCGGACTCAGGTGACTGTTTCCTCTCTCTCTAGATTACTCAGCTGAAAATTGATAACAACCCCTTTGCCAAAGGATTCCGGGAGAACTTTGAGTCGTAAGTGCCCCTGGGGTCAACTCATCTTTGGTCTCTCCTGGGTCTGGGGACTCCAGGCTGGACAATGGAGGAGGATGGCCAGGTCAAGGAAGGACATGCACCAGGTAGACCCAGGGGTGCCCAGTGCCACCGTGACCCCTGTTTTCTTGCCTATTTTTTCAGCGTGTATGCATCTGTTGACACCAGCGTCCCCTCCCCGCCAGGACCCAACTGTCAACTGCTTGGAGGAGACCACTACTCTCCTCTCCTACCCAACCAGTATCCGGTTCCCAGCCGTTTCTACCCCGACCTTCCAGGCCAGGCCAAGGATGTGGTGCCACAGCCCTACTGGCTGGGGGCTCCCCGGGACCACAGCTATGAGGCTGAGTTTCGAGCAGTCAGCATGAAACCTGCATTCCTG